GGTTATCCCTCTATAATTCCCCGGGTCAGCTTTATCCCCCTTTTTGAACAGGTTCACGACTACTCCTTCTCTCCATCTCTTCGGCGCGTACTCGTGTTTCCATATCCAGTTGAATATCCGGACCAACATGTTAATCATCCCCTCCCCCCCCTGTTTCAAAAGCTCGTTCACAATTCCATCAGCCCCTGCCGCTTTTCTATTCTTGAGTTTCGCTACGCAGTCCTCTACCTCTTCTCGTGTGAACTCTCCCTGCAACCCGTCTACATCACTACGTTCCCTCTGAGATCTTTCAACGTTTTCCTCTGCCCACGAGTTGATTTCCTTCTCAAACTCCGAGTCGAAGTTGTCGTTGGTGGTGGGTGTCCCAAGTTTGCGGTAGTGCTCTACTAGTACTTCCCTCTTTCCTTTAGAACTGCTTACCATCTTACCCTCGGCAGATCTTAGTGTCGTTATTTCCGTGTCTCCCCCTCTCTTCCTGCCCACTATCCCTTGAATTCCTACCCACATTTGCTTCCTCCCCCCCTCAAAATCTTCGTTAGTCTTTTGGACTACTTCCTCCCACAACCCTTTCTTCTTCTTCACGACCAACTCCTTCACCCTCTTTCTACTTTCAACATACTCCTTCCATCCTGCATCTGTTTTCCCTGCCGCATATTTTGCGTGTGACTCTCTACGTACTCGAATTGCTTGCTTGATTTCTTCGTCCCACCACTTCACTGCTCTCTTACAAACAATCAACTTTCTACCTAGAACTCTACTTGCTGTTGTGTTTACCAGCTCTTCCCACCCTTCTATGATTCTAGACCCGGCCTGGTCCCGGCCTTCGGCATCCTTCGGTGTACCCATTGCCTCCATCAACTCCGAGAGTTTCTTGTCGTTTATAGCCATCTCTTCTTGGAACTCTACCCTCGTTTCTTCTACTTCTAGCTTATCTATTCTCCATCTGTACATTTTCCTGCGTCGCCTACTCTGTATGACTCTCTTCTGTTGTAGGGCTGTCCACACCAACGCGTGGTCTGTAGTGCCTACATCCGTTGTGCATACTCGTACTTCCGTCTCTTTCCCCCCATTCTCTACGACTATATAGTCAAGGATGGATCGTTCTCCTTTTTTGAAACATTGCCTAGTCCATTCCGGTTCTGTCTTTCGTACTCTACCGTTCAACACCTTCATCTCGCTACTGTCAAGGAACCTCAGCATTTCTTCCCCGTTTTTGTTCGTGGCTCCCTCCCCGTATTGCCCTATGGTTCCGTGTGGGTTCGTGGTTCGCCCGATTCTTGAATTGAAGTCCCCAACTAGAACTACTTCTCCCTTTCTCTTGAAGTTTTGTACATCCGCTGCTACCTCCTCGAAACCTATCCTGATGTCTTTCACCATATTCTTCGACTCTGGTGGCATATATACATTTCCTACGAACAAGTCCTTTCTTCCCCGTTCCCCTGGTACCCTTATCCACATGATTTCGTTGAATTTGGTGTCGCTGATCACCTCAATTATGTCGCACATGTGCTCCTTGACAAAGAATCCAACTCCCCCCTCCCCTCTACTCTTGATTTTCTGTCCTCTCCTCATTTTACCTATCCATGTGTAGCTTCCCACTTCTTTTCCTATTTCTCCCCCGTCCTTCTCCCACGACTCTTGGACTCCGACTATGTCCAGGTCTTTTTCGGCCGCTTGCTCGGCAATTTCGAGTCTTTTACGCTCATCTGTGGCAAATCCGCATACATTCCAAGACCCTATTCTGATTTCCTTACTCCTACTTTCTACTTTCCTGTGCCTTTCAGGATTCCTTTTGTCCCTCATTTGCCTTCCCTTCTGCCTTATCCTATCGCTGAGGGGGGGGCAAGGCCATTGGGGAGGTACATAGATGGTGAAGCTGCGAGCTCTGTTACGTTTGCGGTGGCTTTTACGCCATGGGGGGGCTTTGTCAAGGGGGGGGGGGCAAGGGCATTGGGGAGGGACATAAAAGGGGAAACTGCCAGCTCTGTTACGTTTGCGGGGGCTTGGCCCCCGTTGAGGAATTCCTCGGGGCAAGGCCATTCCGAAAGGAGTTAGTTAGGCCTGCGAACTGGCTCTGTTGGGGTCCCTGTGGCTTACCCCATGGGGTTTTCGGAACAAGGCCGTCCAGTGATGTCACGAGCTCTATGAAGGTTGCGGTGGTGGGTGAGGTGGAGGGTTTTTTCATGGTGCCTGTGTGTGTGAGTGAGTGGTGGACTTGTTTTACATTGTACTGCTTTCTTGGTGTCGAAAGGGGCTAGACTAGGTACTTACTCCGTTTTTGTTTGTGGGCGCTCTCTCGTCTGTTGCTTGTTCTGCGGCCTTCGCCTTGGCCGCCTTCTCCGTTGTTGTGCTTGATGCTGGTGATGCTGGTGTTGTTGCTGTCGTTGTTCTCATCGCACGGCATGGTTCTCAGCCTCCATGGCAGGCTTGGGACGTACTGCTGCACCTCGGTCGCGCTCGTGCCTCTTGTAGTAGTAGTAGTAGTAGTAGTAGTGGTGGTGGTAGTAGTAGTAGTAGGGTTAGGAGTAGTAGTAGTAGTAGTAGTAGTGGTGGTAGTGGTGGTGGTGGTGGTGGCGATGGCGAGGCTGCTGCTGCCGCCCGGGAATGTTAACCTTCTCCCTGTGGCGGTGTTTCTCTTGTGTTTTGTGTATATTCCAACCTTGTCCCTGTGGCGGTGAATATCTTGTGTTCGTGTATATTCGAACCTTATCCCTGTGGCCGTGTTTCCGGTCCTCTCGTGTGTGTGTGTGTGTGTAACTCCCTCAGATGAAGCAGGAGATGAACCGATCGTGCGAGGACTACGAGCACTCGATGGCTCGCTTTCTTCAGCTCAAGCGTAACTCGGAGGAAGGCGTCACCCAGGTACATACAGACATTAGTCCCCTCTCTACCTACTACGCGAGGACGTAGCGTCCCAACACAAACAAAAGTTGGCAGTGTAGGCGCTCCAGCTTTTATCGTGGCACGTCGTCGTGCGCGCACCGCCTCGTACCTAGTCGCGAGGACGTAGCGTCCCAACACAAACAAAAGTTGGCAGTGTAGGCGCTCCAGCTTTTATCGTGGCACGTCGTCGTGCGCGCACCGCCTCGTACCTAGTCGTTTGAAATTTTTCAGAAATGTCTGGATCTAGCAGCATGCCAGTCGAAACCGCGCATCGCGGGAGCAATGATGTGCCCTAAATCTAGTGTTGCTTTAAAGAATGGATGTCGATAGATATCCCCCTGGAGCTTGGCTGCGTGGCGCCACCATCAACCCCTGTCTCGCTTTCATGCGTGTCTTGTGTGTCTCCTTGTCGGGTTGGCGGCGGCGGCGGCGGCGGCTAATCGGAGAGCAGGCGAGGGCGGCGGAGGTGGCGCTGTCTAAGAAGAGGTTCGAGATGGCCAGGTTCGACTTGGTGCGTCACCTTAGCCTGCTGGAGACCAAGAAGAAGCACGAGGTTGTGGGCAGGTGAGACGCGTATTATGACAGCAGCAGTGGTGAGCAAGGGTGAGAGACGACCACGCGTGTATAACGTCGTGAAAGATTGTAGGAAGGCGATGATGTTGATGCGCTACGGTAAGCCCGCCGTGTTTTATTCTCACTCTGGTGTGTTGGGAGGGGCAACTCCGCGTCCACGACATCCATCATGGCGTTGTTCTCTATTCTCTCTCTCTCTCTCTCTCTCTCTCTCTCTCTCTCTCTCTCTCTCTCTCTCTCTCTCTCTCTCTCTCTCTCTCTCTCTCTCTCTCTTTCTCTTTCTCTCTCTCTCTCTCTCCCTCTCTCTCGCTCGCGCGCGCTCTTCTTGTATTGCCACATCACTCCTCATTTCCAAAGTCGAGGGGGAGACATGCGACATACGCGCACAAAGACCCTTCTTTTTTTCCCCATGTTTTCTCTATCGTCGTGGCGTGGTGGGCCCCCCTTGTGTTTTGTCTCTGGCTGTTCGCAGGACGTGCACTGCCCTGCACGCCTTCCTGGCCCTCTTCCAGCGGTGCAACGGCCTGGTCGCCTCGACGGAACAGCGCCTGAGGGAGTTGGAGTGCGCTCTCACTCTATCCCGACAGGCGAGTAGCCTACGGGTCGGCTCTTTCTTTTTTTATGTACTTCTATAGCACAGCGAATCCACGTCTATCCGTAGACCAAGGATCTAGCATAAACTGGCAATGGATTGGTGAAGTCGTAGCGTTAACGGAGCATTTCCTCTTTGTCCACGATTCACCAAGCTTGTTTATCTTATATTACATGTTTTGTGATCCCATGTATTCTGAACGTCGGTGTTTTCGCCTGTCGGTATTCATACGACTTCAGGACACACCAGCCGCGGTTCACAAATGCGTCTGTGTTTAATTTAATTGGACTCGGGTTGTTCGCGTGTTTTTTTCTTTTTCTTGCTTTTGCGGGGCGTCCTAACGCAGGACCTAGACCAGGAGGACGGGGTCTGGTTGGCCAGGCGCGACCAGCTCGAGGCCTCCCTTAACAAGGCAATACCCCCAAACGCAGCCCTCGTCGCTCGCAGCGGCGGCGGCTTGCCCCCAGCCCCGTCCCCGACCAGGGCAGCGGCCGCCGCAGCAGCGACGGCTATGGGTTCTAACGCTACCACCAGCACCTGGCCGTCTTCGGCAACCTCGTCTACCGCTGGTGGGGGAGGGGTGGGGAGCACCACGGGGGCCGGCGGCGCGGCGGTGACCGGATCGTCTCCGGTGCTGGGGCCGGCGGCGGCGGCGGCGGGAGGGGGGGTGACGCATATGCGGTCGGCGCAGAAGAAGGTGGTGTCGCTGGCCGCGCGGCTGACGAGCGGCGTCGGCGGGGGCGTCGGCGGGGCGGGGGCTGACTCTTCCGGTGGTAGCCCGCAGCAGCCGCAGCAGCAACAGCAGACGCAATCGGCGTCGCATTCGACGACGATGCGCAGCAGGATGATGCTGCCTAGCTTCGGCCACAGTAGCAAGGGAAGCGGGGTCTTTGGAGAAGTGGCAACGGCGGCGGGGGGGGGGATCGTGTTGAGCCCGTCCCCCGTTCCCTCC